TAGTTGTTGTCTTCAGCATTACAAAAACTGCTTCAGTGCTCAATCAGTGCAACAAGTGACTGTAGTGCTCCAGCATGTACACACACATGACTGCTTACCAGAAGCATAGACCTCACTACATAAGAGGTCTAACAGTGCTTTGTGAGAAACCCATGAAGGATAGATGGATCTCTCCAGTGGCATAGCTCACAGCATAGCTCAGTAACATATATGCACAAAATACAAGAGGAATTCCAGGGTGCAGTAAATCAAAGCAAAATGTATTAAGGACAGGCACTCACAACACATCATTCAATTTCAAGATGATGCAATAGTATAGTTCTCTAAGCTTCTCTCTATAGATTTCATCTCAAGGGACATTGCCCATGGGCATTTCAGTGCAGTAAATCGGTGCATCAGTAACTAAACAGGCAGCAGAATCCTGTCCCAGAGAAGACATTGCTGGAACTGGCAGCAGAGGAGAATAAGATAGCTGAGGATTCCCAAGCCTATTTAGTTATTGACACACCAATTCACAACTACTCCAGTGCACCTTGATGACATCCCTTGGGAAAAGTGCATAGGGTGTAGCCTAGCTGCGACATCATCATGCTTGCTTGGGAGTGCAATTCTTTTGCTATCTTTCTTGAATTTGACTTTTATTTTGTGAGTCCCTGTCCTTTTTTTTAAGTTGGTGTTTATTGATTTTGAAAATTGTACAAGCACAAATACCCAAACCATAACAGTAACCTTACATTCTAATACAGAGTCTGTGTCCTGTGTAACGCGTATATACATCCTTTACAAAGTGAAGCCTGATAATACAACAGCAAGTTAGAGGTATCTGTTGGAGCATACATAATAAGGCATGGTCTAACAGGAACCCAGTTGGGTTATATAGTGAGAAGAAAGTTGGTCCAAGGTCCCAAAATGTTCTCAAAACTTTTCAGAGACCCCCCTATTAGTGTATGTAAGGCTGGTATGGTGGGAGAGCTGAATTGATCTGTCATTTCTCTGAGAGGATAGAAAAGACCTCTCCCAGGTGATTGAAATGTACTTTTTGGCATAGAATTAGAGTATACACAGTCATTTTTTTGGTATTATTATACAGTATTTATAAAGCATTAGAGCTTCTGGTAGATTCTCAATCAGCCCCAACCGGCAGACCCTAGGGCACTGGATAATTGGGAGACCCATAGTCAACTCAAGAAATTCACGTATTAGTGACCAAAATCCCTGTATTTGGGGGCATAAGCATAAAGCGTGAAAGAAATTGGCTTCCTGACCACATAAATGAAAGCAAAGAGGGGTATGTCAAATCCCCAGGCTATGCATGCAGTGGACAGTATAGTATACCTGATGAAAATGTTTAAGTTGTATGAGCCTATGTTTAGAGGAAATCACAGATGTCATACAGGTGCATCTCAATAAATTAGAATATTATCAAAAAGTTAATTTATTTCAGTAATTCAATTCAAAAAGTGAACCGCATATATTATATAGATTCATTACACACAGAGTGATATACAGTATATCAAGCATTTCTTTCTTTTAATTTTGATGATTATGGCTTACAGCTAGTGAAAACCCAAAATTCAGTATCTCAGAAAATTGGAATATTGTGAAAAAGTTCAATATTGTAGACTCACAAGGGGAGATTTACTAAAGCTGGAGAGTGCAAAGTCAGGCTCACGTATGCATAGAAACCAAGCAGCTTTCAGGTTTTATTATCAAACCTTACATGAACAAGCTGAGGTTAGAAGCTGATTAGTTTCTATGCAGAAGTGAGCCTGATTTTGCACTCCCCAGCTTTAGTAAATAAACCTCACGGTGTCACACTCTAGTCAGCTAATTAACTCAAAACACCTGTAGAGGTTTCATGAGCCTTTAAATGGTCTTTCAGTCTGGTTCATTAGGTTACACAATCATGGGGAAAACTGCTGACTTGACAGTTGTCCAGAAGAGTCATTGACACCCTCCACAAGGAGGGTAAGTCACAAAAGGTCGTTGCTAAAGTAGCTGGTTATTCACAAAGTGCTGTATCCAAGCATAATAATGAGAAGTTGAGTGGAAGGAAAAAGTGTGGTAGAAAAAGGTGCACAAGAAACAAGGATAACCCCAGCCTTGAGAGGATTGTGAAAAAAGGCCATTCAAGAATTTGGGCGACATTCATAAGGAGTGGACTATGGTTGGTGTCAGTGCTTCAAGAGCCATCACACACAGATGTGTCCAGGACATGAGCTACAACTGTTGCATTCCTTGTCTCACCTGGGCTATGGGGAAAAAGGACTGGACTGTTGCTCAGTGGTCCAAAGTCCTCTTTTCAGATGAAAGTAAATTTTGCATTTCATTTGGAAATCAAGGTCCAAGAGTCTAAGGGAAGAGTGAAGATGCACAGAATCCAAGTTGCATGAGGTCCAGTGTGAAATTTCCACAGAAGATTTGGGGAGCCATGGCATCTGCTGGTGTTGGTCCACTGTGGTTTATCAAGTCGAAAGTCAGCACAGCCATGTACCATGTACCAGGAAATCCTAGAGCACTTCATGCTTCCCTCTGCTGACCAGCTTTATGGAGATGATGATTTCATTTTTTAGTAGGGTTTGGCACCTGCCCACCCTGTCGAAAGTACCAACATCTGGTTTAATGATCATGGTATCACTGTGTTTGATTGGCCAGCAAACTCGCCTGGCCTAAACTCCATAGAGAATCTGTTGGGTATTGTCAAGAGGAAGATGAGAGACACAAGACCCAATAATGTAGCCGAGCTGAAGGCTGCTATCAAAGGATTCCATAACACCTCAGCAGTGCCACAGGCTGATCGCCTCCATGCCACACTGCACTGATGCAGTAATTCATGTAAGCCAACATTTCTGTATTAAAAATCTTTTTTGTTTTATTGGTCTTATGTAATATTCTAATTTTCTGGGATACTGAATTTGGGGTTTTCACTAGCTGTAAGCCATAATCATCAAAATTAAAAGCAAGAAATGCTTGAAAAATATCACTATGTATTTATAAATCTATATAACATAGGAGTTTTACTTTTTGAATTTAATTACTGAAATAAATTAAATTTTTAATGATATTCTAATTTATTGAGATGCACCTGTATATGTTTCCTCAAAATCCCCCCAATCTTCTTCAGAAAGTTGGGGGATCACTTCCTACCATTTAGAGTGAGTACCTGTCCTTACCTAAATAATGTTGCTTTACCCCAAGCTGCAGTTACTTTTTTTTTTCCTGCATGTATGTTACTAAGCTATGCTGAAAGCTATGAGTCAAGGTAGAGATCCTTCAGGGGATCTAAGCTGTTTCTCATAAAGAGCTGTCAGAACTCTTATGTAGTGAAGTCTAGGCTTCTAGTAAGTGACCATGTATGTGTAGATGTTGGAGCACTACAGTCTTGTGTGGCATTGACTGAATTCTGTAGCAGTTTTTGTAGCTAACACTTGTTTCTCACTTTATTGGAACTTTTATTGCAACATTTGTATTATTATTATACAGGATTATTATACAGTGTTATTGTTTATCCTGGGGGATTGCACAAACTGTATATGCATAAATTGTATATGTGTATGTTATCGTTGTATACAATTGTCATTTTATTCACAACACACTTTTTGTATGTATGGATTAGATGTTTATGTATCCTGATTTCAGTGAGTGTGCATGTTCTTTGCACAATATTTTATTATTTACTATTGTAGAATCACATAGCATAGATTTATGTACATATTGTTTTCATAAATGACATTATGTCTTGTTTTCATATTCTAAACACGCTGTGTGAATGAGCTTTACAACAAGTTATCTTTATGACTTTTCTAGCTGCTTGTAGTGTAAAGTAATTCATACTCAAAGATTCTCAAAGACCCCAACAAAAAAGTCACATTGCTGTGTGTTCACAATAGAGAGTTAACAGGCTTCTACAATTTTTGCTCAGTGTACTTGTGCAGAAAGACATGTATCCACACGAAAGGCACTAAGGGTCTGTACAGCCACAAGCAGTCATCCTGCTAAAATTAATGAGGGTCTAATAAAAAATAGCAAAATATTTTAATTTAATAGAGACACCATCAGGGGCATTTTATGAAATTAGTGGGCCTGTGTACAAGATTATAAAGTGGGTTCCATTGCTTGATAATTAAAAAAAATGTGGTGTGCTTGGTGTGTTGTAGTGAAGAGTGGGCATGGTTTTCATGATGCCAGGGGTGTTGCTAGGATTGTTAAAGACCAGGGGCACATTTTGGAACTGAGAGTGCAGAAGTGATGCGGCGCGCACATGGTGGGTGTAGCCAAATTGCACTAACAGTGGGAGGGGCTTAAAGGGTCTTCGTTACATAAAACAAAAGCCTTCTTGTACCCATAAAATATGCTTAGGTTGCTGTGCCATAAGTAAGAGTTTCTCAGGCATGTATATAGACATGTACTGTATATGTTTTTAAACTGTAAAACTGTTCCAAACGTATCATTTTGTATGGACTGAGAAATAAACAGAGGGCTAGCACTTTGAGCTTACCTTAACCGCCTCCCGCCTGTCATATAAGGTAATGATGGGTGCAAGGCGGCTCTCTTGTTCTAGGAAGATGTCATATGATGTCCTCCCACTCTAACCAAGCGTGCGTGGCTCCGGGAGCTGGTGCGCTGTGTCCCTCGGACACATCGGATCACCGATCAACGGAAAGAGCCGAAGATGTCAGCTCAGTCATGTGATCAGCTGTGTCCAATCAGAGCTATTTCGCATGTAAATAGGGAAATGCTGATTATAGGCATATCTCTCCTCACGAGCTGTCATGCTGACAGCTCGAGAGGAGAGGAGAGCTGGCCCCTCAGAGGGGCATGTACACTGATCATCAGAGCACTGATAATCAATGTAGCCCCAGCAGTGCCACCTGTCCGTGCTCATCAATGCCAGCTGTCAGTGCTCATCAATGTCACCTGCCAGTGCCCATCAGTGCCTCATCAATGCCACATATCAGTGCCTACCAGTGCACATCAATGCCACATATCAGTGCCCATCTGGGCTGCCTTTCAGTGTCACCTATCAGTGCCAGTCAGTGCCACCTATCAATGCCTATCAGTGTCAGTCAGTGCCGCCTATCAGTGCCAGTCAGTGCCTCCTATCTGTGCCAGTCAGTGCCACCTATCAGTTCCCATCAGTGCTGCCTATCAGTGCCGCCTAACAGTGCCAGTCAGTGCTGCCTATCAGAGTCAGTCAGTGCCGCCTATCAGTGCTGCCTATCAGTGTCATATATGAGCGGTGCCTTTCAGTGCCCATAAGTGATGCCTGTCAATGCCCATCAGTGCCACCTACCAGTGCATCCTCATCAGTGCCCATCAGTGCAGCCTATCAGTGCCCATCACTGCAGCCTCATTAGCGCACATCAGTGAAGGAGAAAAATCACTTATTTACAAAATTTTATAACAAAAACTAAGAAAAAACATTACCTTGAGGGAACCCATGAAATCATTTTCATATATACAGCTCACAGAATATTGGTGTGAATCTTCCAATTGCGATTTTTCTGCACAGATGCTCAATTATGGGTCAAACCTGAGATTAATATACAGGGGGTCAGCAGAGCAAAATATAGGAGTCAGCAGGGCAGCATACAGGAGGTAAGTGGGGCACAGTACGTGGGAGAAGGAGGACACATTATATGGGGGAAAGCAGAACACAGCAATGCACATCACATGGAAGGCACAGCAAAGCATGGTACATGGAAGGCATAGCAATGAAGGTACAGTGATGCAGGTTACATGGATGGCACAGTAATGTAGGTTACATGAAAAGCAGTGCAAGCTACATGGAAGACACAGCAATTAACATTACATGGAAGGCACAGCAATGCAAGCTACATGGAAGGTACAGAAATGCAGACAATATGGAAAGTAAAGAAATGCACGTTTCATGGTTGGTACAGAAATGCAGACTACATGGAAGGTACAGAAATGCATGTTACATGAAAGGTACAGAAATGTAAATACATGGAAGGTACAGAAATCAGGCTACATGGAAGGTACAGAAATGTAGGTTGCATGGAAGGTACAGAAATGCATGTTACATGGAAGGTACAGAAATACATGTTACATGGAAGGTACAGAAATGCACGTTACATGGTAGGTACACAAATGCAGGCTACATGGAAAGTACAGAAATGCATGTTACATGGAAGGTACAGAAATGTACATTACATGGAAGGTACAGAAATCAAGCTACATGGAGGGTACAGAAATGTACATTACATGGAAGGTACAGAAATCAAGCTACATGGAAGGTACAGAAATGTACTTTACATGGAAGGTACAGAAATGCATGTTACATGGAAGGTACAGAAATCAAGCTACATTGAAGTTACTCCTGGATACTGGGAGGATATGTGTCTGAATTTGAGGGAGATCCTCTAACAGGAGCTCAGCAGTGGGCAGAGACAGGTACAGCTGCAGAGGCTGAGACATCTCCATGTGTGCAGTGTGGCTCAGAGCCCCGTGGGCCCCCTTCCCTCAGGTCCCATGTGCCTCGCACACACTGCACACATGGATGATACCACACTGGACACAATGGGGTTTATTTACTAAAGGCAAATAAACTGCAGTTTGCAAGATTCAGTTGCAGTCTGAAAGAACAGTTGCTGCAGAGCTTGGTAAATGAGGGAAAGCTGTGCTGACTTCCATCATACAATCATGTGTAACCAAAAATCCTGTTTTTATTTTTCCTTGAATGCAATTGGGTATTCTTTGCAAAGTGAATCTTTACCTCATTTACTAAGCTCTGGTGCAACTGCTCTTGCAGAGTGCATCCACACTTTGCAAAGTGCACAGTTTATTTGCCTTTAGTAAATGTTTCTAATTCTGTTTGCAGGATTGTATTTGTTGCCTCTAGTTGCTCATTCAAAGATATGTTTTTTTCCTTTATGCTGTTAGGCCACATGCAAGATGAATTGCTATAGATCTGGGCTACTTTGTCTTTTATTTTACCCTTTTAGCTCACAATATTATATGCGTAGTATAAAATATACACATGATACCTAATCCCAAAATAAAGATGTTTGCCTGGTGTGAAAACAAAACAATAAAACAATATAAAAATGAAGAACTTTTTTAAGTGACTTTGTCATTTATGAAGTAAAATCAAAACACTGTAGAGAAGGCTGAATAGAGAAGTCAAATATGCTTCGTATATTATAAACACCTTCATAAAAATGAGAAATTATGAAGCAAAAAAAAAACAACAAAATATTATGAAATGAATAAAAAAGAGAGCTACTTTTCATCAGACCTTATTTAAAGTCCAATTATATATATAATCAAAATGTCCCAAAAAACATTTCCTTGGAATTCTTGACTGCACTCTCATATATTATAAACAATAAAAAATGTAAAATAAAATGCTATCAGAAATATCCATACAGTGCAATCAAATAAACTAGAGAAAGTCCGTACAATTCAATTTAGTGCACTATTAATTACACTAGGAACATGCTCTGTGCTAAAATAGTTAAAAGTGAGTAACAATGGTACATGACACCACCAACTGTGCTCTTCCTCTACACCTACTATTCACACACCTCTGTATCTTTAAGATACTCAGTAGCTTACCAAGCGTTACATGCATAAAAAGATGGGGAAGCCCCTTATAGTGTAGTAAAATTACTTAATAAAGAAGAATGATAAAATTACATTTGCTTTGCAGTCACATCTCTGCTCTGTGTACAGAGCCCTGTGTTATTAGTAGACACAGGGCTCTGTACTGTCATTCGCTAAGCCATTCAGCAGGTCAGGCCATAAATCACTGGCCAGGACCTGTTGATTGACTTGCGCTGTGTTGTTGAATGACAGCACAGATGGGGCAGCGGGCGAATGCATGCGTGCCCCCTACTTGGAAATGCTGGATCACATACATATATGTAATCAAGTGCAGAGAAACCTACCCATCACAGTATATCTACATGGGGCAGCCCCCAAGCGGTTAATATGCATTTGACCCACTCTTTGTAAATATAATAGAATTCACTCTTTTTTTACACTGTTTTGGAGTATGTCTGTGTGAATTTGGGTCCGTTCAGCCAAAAGAGCATTTATGATGTGGCTCACAATTTGTGTTTCAATTCATCCCAAAGGTTTTTAATGGGGTTTCAGTCTGGTCCCTGTGCAGGCATTTATTTGAGTTCTTCTACACCGAACTTGTCAAGCCATATTTTATGGACCTTGATTTTTGCACAGCGCACATGCTAGAACAGAAAAGTGCCTTCCCCAAATGGTTGTGACAAGGATGGAAGCACACTATTGTCTAACATGTCTGTGCATACTGTGACAGTAACACTCCCCATCATTGAAAACACCTAAATGTAATAATTTTAATGATTGTTCACATATTTTTGTTCTTTAGCTCAGGTATGATGGTCAGGTGTTCACAAATGTCTGACCATATAATATATATGTGCAAATACTGTTTCTTCAGTGACAGATTACCTTTAAAATGATTGAAAAATCCTTAAAATAAGAATATCATCCTAATGTAAACTGCACTGCTAGGACAGTTTTGATTTCACACGCATATGTTAAACTGCTAAAACTGCTAAAAATCTGAACACATTGGCTTTACAGGATGGTTGGATTCAGCCAAACTGGGTGTTAGGTTAATAGGTAGAATGGATGTTACATACTCAATGAACCACGGAACCAATTCCTTCATGTAATCAATTTGGATATCTGGTGCCCCCTTATATTAAATCAGATCCCTGATTCTAATAAACCACCATCCCTCAGACCTCCACAACCATTGAGTCAAAGTTAAGGGGAAGAGACTCTTGTCTTCATCAACATGGGGACAAGGTATCCTCCCCATGTGCATATGACCTGATATGGTTCAAGGGGGGGGTGCATGCCAATCCCTCATTCTGTTGTTTTTGTTTTTATTGCATAGGGTCTCCTTTGGCATCTAAATCAGACCCTCATCAAGGATAAGGGTCCTGTATGTATTTTTAGGGGGAACCCTATCTTTTTGTATGGGGTCCTCTATTAATTGCTATACCCCTTTAATCATTATTAAACTCTCTGTTCCCTGTCCAGGTGATTTTTTTAAAAATTGTTTTGGTTTTGCTACATGTCCCCAGGACGCTGTCCAGCTCCCCATGCCCTATGTTTGACAATCCTGCCTATCTTCCCTTCACTTCACTTGAATCTTGACTTCAGTGAAGTTCACGTTTGGCATCCAAACATCTGTAAAGTTTGGCGAATGTACCCAAACTGAACGCAGGTATGTTCATCTCATCATTATTAGTAAGTGCTTCATAGATATTTTATAGCACTTGTGAAACCATTCAGCAAGTTTTGGAGGACCTTCAACTGAATATACAGTATGTATTGTATATACAGTATATAGTTTTTATTACATTTCTGATGCTCTAAAAAAGCTTAGGAACAAAAGAGCAATCTAAAAGTTATAATTTGGTTTTGTGCCACACTATGCATGCTTAAAGTGGAATTTCACTCTCTCAATCAACATTGACAATCTACTATTTATAATCCTTATGCTGCTAGCAATAGTAAGTAGATAAGAAAGTATGTCATATTAGCATTAGTAAGTAGATAAGAAAGTATGTCATATTTACTTATTTTAAAGTATTGTTTTGCATTAATTCTGTTACTTCCCAGTGTCTTGCCTAGGAGTCTTCTGGAGGGGAGGAGGGTTTTCTCAGCTAAGTATGCTCTCATGCTTGTATGCCTGAACTAAAGGCTACCGGATTCCAGGAAGTCAATGCTACATGAATCATCTGCTCTTACTCAAAATTGCCACAGCCAGAAAAGCTAGGGGAGTGTTTTTCAAAGTGAATTATCAGCAAAATAAAGCATGGAAACATGGATGGATGGGGGGGTTGCTCTTAATAAAAATTAATGAAATAGCATTTTTGCTTTGTGGTGCTCACATATGAAGTGTAGTGCTGCTTTGATACTCATTATGAACATAAACAGTTGATATATTGATATATTGACCAGAATATGAATGTTGTAGATTTTGGTAAAAATCGATGCTTATGTTTCCTTTGTTTTAGCACCCTTATGTCTGTACAGGTCTAGCTGGTAAGACTGCTCTTTGCCTTTTTCTTTTCATACAAGAACAAAAGACATGCTAAGTCTGACCTGTTTTTTCATCATTTTTCAAGACCTCATTTAATCCTATGATGAAAAGTATATATTTGCCATCTCCTGAAGCATTTAAAAGCACTGTTTTGTATAATTTTATGTTTTTTCCTTACTTCCTTTCATCGCAGTATTTAAAAGAATCTGTCCTAAATGCCAGGTTATGTTTCCTTAGACTGATATTTAAATCTTCACACACACAGAAAAAATAGAATACATCTTAGCT